TTGCCCAGGAGACAGCAGCAGGGTCGCAGCAGTGTCAGTGGAGCCAAACGGCCACGGAGTAGAGCACCAGCTCCACTGCAGCCTACCACCACGGCCAGTAGTGGTGCCGGTGTGCACGGAGGAAGCAGCAGTCAGCCAGTGAGGAGTATCGGGGGCAAAGTTTCCTACTCGGCGGTGTGGCAATTTTTCGTCAAGCCGCCCGAGGAAGTAAACGTAGCCGTATGTCGACTATGTGGCCAGAAAGTCAAGCATGGCCAGGGGGCCCATGTTGGGACTACAGCGTTGCGGCAGCATATGCAGCGTCGCCATTTGGTGGCCTGGGAAAACCGTGATAAAGATACGGCGGTTCTGCCCGCCCCAGCCCCCGCTCCATCACCCGCTCCGTTACTTGCTCCGTCACCCGACGTCAATCGCCCTCCATCAGCCAGTCAAGGCTCCAACACCTCTGCTGAGGGGAGTTGTCGCTCGTTGCATCTTCCGCTCGTTCAGATGCTCCTTCTCCTGCTACTCCTCTTCACGGATTCCGTCAGCAGTCTTTCTTGGAATCCGTTTCCAAGAGACAACAGTTTGCGAGCACGCACCCGACGGTGCAAAAGCTGAACGTCCTCCTGTCCAAGTTGCTGGTGCTGCAGTCCCTCCCTTTCCAAGTGGTGGACTCAGCACCTTTCCGAGAAATGATGGCTTGTGCCGCGCCGCGGTGGAGAGTGCCAAGCCGTCATTTCTTCGCCAAAAAGGCAGTGCCAGCCCTGCATTCACATGTAGAAGACATGGTGGGCCAGTCTTTGAGCATGTCGGTCTCTGCCAAAGTGCACGGCAGCGCCGACGTGTGGAGCTGTAACTACGGTCAGGGACAGTACATGTCATTTACGGCCCACTGGGGGAACGTGGTGCCGTCACAGCCGCACCAGCAACTTGGACAGGTCACGCCGCTTTTGCCTCCACGTTTGCACGTCCTTGGTCCACAAAAAATGTCCGCCTCTACCACCTCTTCTTCCGCCGTGTCCTCAGCCGCCACCCCCGTGCCAAGTCCCATTACCCGACCGGCATATCACATGTGCAGGGCGCAACGGTGTCACGCTGTTCTGCACCTGGTATGCCTTGGCGAACGTAGTCACACAGGGGAGGAACTTCTGAGTGTAATGAACAGAGAAAAATCGACAGATGGCTGTCTACGCGCAAACTGAAAATCGGAACCATGTTGACCGACAACGGAAAGAACATGGTGTCTGCTCTGCGTCAAGGAAGGTTGTGCCATGCGCCATGCATGGCTCACGTGTTCAATCTGGTTGTCAAGCGGTTCCTAAAATCCACCATCCCACTGCAAGACATCCTTAAAATGTCACGTAAACTTTGCATGCATTTCAGCCATTCCTACACCGCAAAGCACACCCTCATTGAGCTGCAGCGGCAGAACGGAATTCCACATCATCGCCTGATCTGCGACGTTGCAACAAGGTGGAATTCAACCCTACACATGTTAGACCGCCTTTACGAGCAGCGAAAGGCCATCACCGATTTCCTGATGTTACAAGCGGATAAAGGTACTCCCTGTGTAACTTCGATGTCAGCCATTGGCAGCTCACGCGTGACACCTGCCGCTTGCTCAGGCCCTTTGAGGAGGCCACGCTATTCGTGAGTCGGCAGGACTATGGGATGAACGACGTCATTCCTCTGTTGCACGTCCTTGAACAAATGCTGTTAACAATGGCTGGTCAGGGTGCGGTAGACGTGGCGCACAGATCTCAACGCCACATGACCCCTGTGGGGGCAGGACAGGAAGAGGAGGAGGTAGAGGAGGACATTTGTGCTCAGGAATTATTGAGTGAAATGGGTGGTTTCTCCACTCAGCGGACAGGAGTGGAGGAGCAGGAGCATCTGGTAGAGGAGGAGGAGGAGGAGGAGACAGAGGACCCAGACACACCGTGGCAGTATGCTGTGGAGATGGAGGCAGGGAGTCCCTCGCATTCCTTGGCACAAATAGCCCATAGCATGCTCGGTTGCTTGCGTAGCGACAGCCGAATAATAACCATCAGACAGAGGGATGACTTTTGGCTGTCCACCTTGTTGGACCCTCGCTACCGTTCAAAAATGGTGGCCTTTTTCACACCTGCTGAGAGGGAGGCCAAAATAACGTACTATAAAAACCACCTATGTAGTCAGTTGGTCTCTGCCTTTCTGCGCCAACGTCCATCCTCAGACACTGTGGGCCCTGTGCGCTCGTGTTCCGCTGCCATGGCAGCAGGGGAGGGGTGGGGTGGTAGGAGCAGTGGCAGCTCCACCAGCAGCGGCTGCCTCAGTCTGCAGTCGATGATGAGTAGCTTTCTTCACCAGCGCAGTGAGGAAACTACTAACCAGCCGCAGCAGCAGCAGCAGCATCAGGTGGACCTGGAGCAGGACCTCAAACAACAGGCTTGGGCCTACTTGGACAGCACTAAGCAAAATGGTAGTGTGACAAGAACACCCCTACCTGGAAAAAGAAGGTTGCTAGGTGATCCACGCGGAGTAATATAATTTCAAAAATATTCCAAACAATACTTTATTTGATCACATAGATCATAAGGAGGTTAAACATGAGCACGGTGTACATATGAAAAAATAAATAAAATCATGTTAAAAAGCACTAGGCGTCTTCAGTTTCGGGTCATCTTAGCAAATAGAGTACCATAAGGCAGAGTTATATAGTGGTGATGTAGTTATCCTGGGTTTCCATGGGTTTTCATCTAGTATTCAAATGAACCATGTATTCAGCAGATGTGTTCCCAATATATGTCAGGTATCTCCTGGTATGAAACAGCTGGAACACAGAAATACATAGTATATATATAGAAGTATGAAAACCAAAAAACCAAAACACATCCAAAGTTCACCAGACCTCCCTCTACAGTAGTCAATGGATACTACTATTACCTTCTCAATAGTGAAATTAACAGGCCAACTTCTCAAATGTAGGGACTTCCTGGATAGCCACCCCAAGTGAAACAGGGTCCACAGTACCAAATGATTCTGAGGATATATATAGAAAAATAATGATACATATAAAAATCGTGGGCATCAGGTCACCCTGAAAACAAGACACACAGAGTGGGTATATTACCATAAATGAAGATCAAGAAGACTTCTGTCGACTTGAAATAAGATCAGGTCCTTGATGCTTTTCCAAGATACGTGTAGGGGTGGGAAGCCAGGTAGTCACAATACATGGATTCCAAACACATAAATTGTGTATATGGCGTATAGCAGGCTATGCAGGCCTGAGTTTTTAGACCCAATGTAGGGTTTCCAAAAATTACTCAAAATGAGAAGATTATTGCTCCATATACTATGTATATAGCATGTAACAGGCTGTACAGGCCTGAGTATTAATACCCAATAAAGGGTTTCCAAAAATTACTCAAAATGAGAGGGTTATTGCGGTTTCACGAGGATATGGCTATGTCACAGCACAAACCCTGAATAGGATAGCGTATATATATATATATATATATATATATATATATATGTAGATCGTCCTCAAAAGAGGATTTACAAAAAATTCCCCGAGTACACAGGGTAATTTAGGCCCATATAGCATGCCCTTTTAATACCATAGATGCTCTATAGATCTCAACAGCCGTAAGCTGAAATAACTTGCCACCGGTGGAAGATAAATTTCCCTGAAAGATTGCCGTTTGCGGACCGCTGCAATAGTAGCCTTATGGTAGTTTTCAGAGGGTCAAGGGCCTTCCTAGCAGAGAGCTGTGACACCGCCGTTCCTTCCCGCCTCGTGGGCGCCGCACCCAGTGAAGACGCCGAGCGTAGTGACGTCAATACGTTGACGCGTTTCGTCCGCCAATCACCACAGACTTCGTCAGGACTACTTGGACAGCACCCTGCCAACCGAGGTAGACAATCCCCTTGACTACTGGGCAACGAAACTTGACCTTTGGCCCCAACTAGCTGAATTTGCCCTTGAAAGGCTGTCATGCCCGGCCAGTAGCGTGGCATCGGAGCGCGTGTTTAGTGCGGCAGGAGGTATTGTAACTCCGCGGAGGACACGACTGTCCACCCAAAGTGTGGAGAGACTCACGTTTGTGAAAATGAATCAGGCGTGGATTAGTCTGGATTTCAAACCACCAGTTCCTGACACAACTGACTAAATCCGCCATGAATCATGCCTCAAACATGTGCCACTTTCAGGTCTCCTCACACACTGCTGGTGTGTTCCATTTTTTGTCATAGGGTGCTGGCAGATTACGGGCCTCCCATAGCTGCTGCCAGGCCCCTAATCTGCCATGGGCCCCTATACCGCCTCCTCATGCTGCTGCCAGGTCCACAGTCTCTCCCCTTATGCCATGTGCCACTTTCAGGTCTCCTCACACTGCTGGTGTGTTGAATTTTTTGACATAGGGTGCTGGCAGATTACGGGCCTCCCATAGCTGCTGCCAGGCCCCTAATCTGCCATAGGCCCCTATATACCACCTCCTCATGCTGCTGCCAAGTCCAGAGTCTCTCATGGGTCCCTGTACGGCCTCCCATTGCTGCTGTCTCCATCGCCACACTCTGCCATGTGCCACTTTCAGGTCTCCTCACACTGCTGGTGGGTTCCATTTTTTGTCATAGGGTGCTGGCAGATTACGGGCCTCCCATAGCTGCTGCCAGGCCCCTAATCTGCCATGGGCCCCCGTACCGACTCCTCATGCTGCTGCCAGGCCCGTAATCTGTCATGGGCCCCTGTTGTCGCTTGTTGGCATATTCCGCTCGTTCAGATGCTCCTTCTCCTGCTACTCCTCTTCACGGATTCCGTCAGCAGTCTTTCTTGGAATCCGTTTCCAAGAGACAACAGTTTGCGAGCACGCACCCGACGGTGCAGAAGCTGAACGTCCTCCTGTCCAAGTTGCTGCTGCCAGGCTCGTAATCTGTCATGCGCCCCTGTACCGCCTCCTCATGCTGCTGCCAGGTCCAGAGTGTGTCATGGGCCCCCGTACCGACTCCTCATGCTGCTGCCAGGCCCGTAATCTGTCATGGGCCCCTGTACCGCCTCCCCATGCTGCTGCCAGGTCCAGAGTGTGTCATGGGTCCCTGTACGGCCTCCCATTGCTGCTGCCAGGCCCGTAATCTGCCATGGGCCCCCGTACCGACTCCTCATGCTGCTGCCAGGCCCGTAATCTGTCATGGGCCCCTGTACTGCCTCCTCATGCTGCTGCCAGGTCCAGAGTGTGTCATGGGTCCCTGTACGGCCTCCCATTGCTGCTGTCTCTATCGCCACACTCTGCCATGTGCCACTTTCAGGTCTCCTCACACTGCTGGTGGTTTCCATTTTTGTCATAGGGTGCTGTATGGCCTCCATTGCTGCTGCCTCCACCGCCACACTGTGGCTCCACACTCTGGTTTTGGCCCCGTGACTGCCCAAATGAGTGAAGTGTGCGGTGATTCTAAGATCGACGGCACTCATCTGCATGTCATACTGACTGACAGTATTATTTCTCTTCCCCAGCAGACTCCAAGGGCATTTAAATTAAAAGGTACTAATATAAAGTATCTCTGAAGCCTAGAAACACCCTTTTTTAAGTTAAATTCACAGTGAATATATTCGACTCGAATCGAAATTTTTCCACGAATTCGCCAAATCAGTCGAATCGAATTTTTGAATACTTCGCTCATCTCTAATCTTTAGATTAAGTTATGATCTGAGTTATGATCTGTCCTGGTTTTGTTTAAAGCTTGGAGAGGTTTATGAATGTTCACCCCGTACATTGAGTTGGTGGGACATATGAATAAAAACGTGTTTTTAGGTGTGTGACTTGCTCAGTTGGAAAATTAAAATTAATCAAGATGGTTTAAGATGGATCTGCTGATATATAAACTTCCAATTCTGTGTGCTTTGCATATTCCTACTGTATTCAGTTTATGTATTTTAGGTTTCCCTGTGCAAGGGATGCGATGGGTTACTTATTTTACCATATTAGTGTCTAATGATTCATTGTCATTTTCTCTACAGCTTGGTTTAAAAATGGGATATTGTATTGTATTGCATTGCAAGACCCTGTTCCACAAATAGTGAATGCACTGGGCTTTATGCATAGTAAATTAATGGTTCATCAGGACATCCAAGCTGGACAATATTCTGCTTATGGACTTTCAATGCAATGTAAATCAAACTGGCAGATTTTGGACTCCAGGCTTCATGGTCCTCAAGCATCATCTATATATGGATTAATTCCATACACAACTCCTGAACTGTGCTGCCTAAAACAAGAACAATTGCTGCTGAACCTAAGCATTGATGTGTGGGCCTTTGGTTTCATGCTGTACACGGCTAGCACTCGGTCCCTCCCTTGGAAAGAAGCAAAGGGTCATGACCACATGTATAGGGACTTTGTATTGTGGTAAATGAAGAAGGATCTCACCTTCACACCTGAAACATGGACAATATAGAATTATAACTGGCATAGTGGACCAGTATCTAGAAATCAGTTCCAATATTACTCACCTCGGAATAGAGGGTTCCCATATCAATCCAACATTAGGCCCCAATGGAGACCCCATTGGAGGGGCCAGCATAACAAACCCTATTTTCAAAACCCCAGTACTCCCCCAGCAACAGTAAGAATGGCTGATAACCAACACCAATACACTAGAAAGGACACACAGGTCCGTTTGTTAGGGGATGGGAGGATTTGCAAGCGAAGAGATTCCATAGGGAAAGAGGAGGAAAGAGTCAATGGACATATTGAAAAAAGAAGAATGTAGCCAGCAAGGGTATTTTTAACCTAAGCAATAGTGAACTTACTCAGCAAGAGTTGAATCTTTTGGATAAGGGCCTTAACCTCCCTGGCGGTATTCCCGAGTGTAGCTCGGGGTAAAGTTTCAGCACCACAAGCGGTAACCCCGAGCTACACTCGGGAATACCTTGCAGTGCTTCTCTGGGATCTCTTCACTTACCTTGTCCTTCGCTCTCGCGATGTGTCCCTGGCAATGTCCTCCGGCCGATGCCAGCATCGGTCTTCCGGGTTCTATTCCCTGTGACGTCAGGACGTACGGGGGACGGAACTGGCGGAAAATTTGAAAATTAAAAAAAAAAAGTGACACTCACTAAAATCCCATAGTATAACATTCCTGTATCAAACCATTTCACATACATTTTGTCCCGAGTGCTTTGTCCGGCCCTGCCTACATTTTTACTGTTCTTTCTGCCTGGAAACTGAGAAACGTCCATGGTGTCCAAAAAGCGCCCCTTTAGGTCAGACGCGGTTTTAGACCGGCTAGAGAACAGCGATCGTAAATCAGAACCACTTGCAGAATTGAGCGATGATTAGTGGGGACATTTTTCATCAGACACTAAAAACAATTTGGAGACTTTGCTCAGCGATGTGCGAACTTGGCGCTATATTTCAAATTTCAGTGTTTTTGGTTTGATTATTGAATTTTTTTTATAGGATTCATTAAATTTTCATGTTTGAAATTTTAACACACAGAATGTTTACTAGACTCTTGTTCGGACAGATTTCAGTGAGGGAAATTATGCACATTTCAAATGTTAAAAAATAAAAATAAAAAAGATTTACTAGGTTGGATGAATGGAGGTATAACCAGCTATAGCATTTTGTTGCAAGTCTACCACAACCTATGAGGTCATTGGAGGAAATGAATCCTCTGGAAAAATTAATGAACGGGGTGGGTACCCCAAAAAATTTGACTTCAAGGATATATAAGATCCTCTTGGACTTGGATGAAATAGATCCCTCTGGGTATGTAAGTAAATGGGAGAAGGAATTAGAAGTTGAGCTGAGTCAGCAAAGAAAAAAAACTATTTAATTCAACACATATGGCTACGTGTCAATGCATTTCGCCCCTCCCACAGAACGCCCTGTGGGAGGGGCAAAATGAGTTGACGCAATTCCGGTCCACACATCCGACGTCACTTCCGGTGAGTGGAGTGCACACCGGGCGGTGCGTTCCAGCGGCCATTTTGAGGGATTTAGTCTGGTCTTCTGCTGTTCCTCTGCTCTTACTGGCTTTATTGGTGTGAGAATCCTGGATTTTGTGGCTGTTTGCTGGTTCTTATTATCAGGCTGGTATTGGCTTAATAATAAATGCGCCTTTTACAAGTTGGAAAAAATGTGAGTGGCCTGGATTTTGTCTTCTGTCATAACATTTATCTGGCAATATTACACTAAGTTTTTTCTCTGATACGGTGGAGTAAACAAGAATACCACAGTGAGGACCTGGGAGAAGATCTAAACCTGGTGGGGCAGGTTATCATTGAGCTGATGCAAAGAGGGTTTAGGATTTCCCAAAAATCCTTAAAGGCTTTTCACTCACCAAAATCTGGTGAGTATTTGATGTTGGTGTGCACGGGTGATAGGTGGAAGTCTCCTAGAAGTATTTGGAATCCTCAGCTTTCATCACAAGTGGTTTTAGGGTGTCTTTCCTGAAGATTTTCTGACAGATATGCACTAATGAATATGGGACATTTATGTTTTGTGATTTACTAAATTTGCATGAAGGTCTATTTTGCGCTGTTTTATTTAGAAATATTTGTGTTTTCACATTTTTTTGCACAGCAGCAATTTAGAAGAGGGATACACATTTTGTATTTGGCACTTATTTTGTATTGGCGCAGGAATATCTTACTTGTTTTAGATATTCAAGGAGACCCGTGGAAATGTCTTTTCTATCATTTTGAGCCAGCTTCGGTATTACGTAAAAACTAAGCTTTGTATCATTTGTTAAGTGCTGCAAAGGGTCTAATCCCTAAATATTGGCAGGCAAAGGAGGCCCCAAGGATCGAGGATTGGATAGACAGAGTGGAGGGTATTGCGCGAATGGAGGAATTAAGATGTATAGAGGAGGATAAAATCGAGGTGTTTAGGAAAACGTTGAGCGGTTGGATGAAATTTAAGACCTCGGAAAAGTATACAGAATTAAGAGCAAAGGTTGTACTATAGAAGACTTGGTAGTTTTAAAGATGTCAAAAAAGGTCTAAAAAGGAGGGATCACCTCTAAATACAGATAGATTTAAGAGTAGATGGGGAGGGGGGTATTGGGAGAAGGTGGGTTGGGGGTGGGGGTTATAGATATATTAAGAAATGCATCTTTTTGAGGCTTAATGTGTTTTTATAATTTTTTGGGTAATGAAAAAATAAAAATTTAAATTAAAAATATTTGATTTAATAAATTATTTATGATTGTGTTTCAAATTGTAACATACCCGGAATGTTTACTAGACTCTTGTTCAGACAGATTTCAGTGAGTTATTCCTAAAAATTACAGGCCTACAAAAAAAAAAAAAAAAAATATTTCCATGCAAAAAAAAAAGTACCGCTTTGAGCACAGAAATATGGACATAATCAGACCGCTAGGGAGGCTACATATGCCCCTAACAAGAAGTTGAATAAGTTCCAAGCATATATGGATATCCACAAGTTCTCGGCAGTTATCACTAAGAGATTTTTTTAATAATCCTATTGTGCACAATAATGCTGATAACTCCACCCACTCTAATTCTCTAATTTACGTAATGCCTCCACTTATAATCCACCACCACAGACGCACTCTTACGTGGGCCTGTTTAAAGAGATGGTTATTAAGGATCTGGATGACATATCGGTTAAACACGCTCCCATTTCCCCTTCAGCTAAGGCGATTAAATCACTCCTAGAAAGAAAGGATCTGGTCATCAGACCTGCAGATAAGGGAGGTGGGCGTGGTTATATTGAATAAAACCGATTATATGGACAGAGGTATATAATATACTCAATGATGCTTCCACCTACTCTATTACCCAGTGACCCTCTTTGGAGAAAAAAAAAATACACACACTAAAAGTTATTAAGAATGGTTATGACAGTGGAATTATTAAAGAAAGATTTTTTTTATGTCCCTCAGCACCTAGGACTTCCAGATTTATATAATTTACCCAAAATACATAAGGATCCGGTCAAACCTCCGGGACAACCGATTGTAAGTGGAATAGGAACCCTCCGCTCGAAGGTGGGGGAGTATATTGATTATTTCTTACAGCCCCTGGTGTCACAAACACCAGCCTATTTATGTGACACAAAACAGATATTGAATGAGATTAAGGATGTTTCTATTGCTCCCACCACCTTTCTGGTTACTGCCGATGTGGTGTCACTCTATAGTAATATTGACCACAAAGACGGTATACAGGCAGCAGAATTTTACCTCAGCGCTAATAGCACTTTACCTTCATCTCAGAAAAACTTTATATTGGACCTATTACAATTTGCTATGAGCAAGAATTATTTTTGGTTTGATAAGAAATACTATCTGCAAACCTAAAGGTGTAGCCTTTATGGCACGCTGGGAGGAGGATTT